ATAAGCTTCTATATTAGTGTTAATGATGGGTATAGATTTTATTGATGACAACTGACATTGGCATAATGGTGTTGACAACAGATGTCATAATTATTGACAAATTAAAAAAAAATATATATCCTAAATTAGAGGCTAAATTTTTCATAATTTGCATTACTATCAATAGATTTGTAATCAAAACTTAGTTATTTTATACACAATAAGATAATATATCTTAAATTTGTGGCTGCATGGAAGCTTCACCTTAAAAAACAAAAAAGAACAAATTTTATTCCATGATAAAAGGGACATAAAACCAAAAGCCAAAAAAGTCCAAAAGAGAAAAAGATTATGATGAGATTTTAATACATAAATGAAACATACTACATGTCTAAAGATAGTTTTTAAAATGACGAAGTTTATAATTATGATGATTATAATAAATGCAATTATATTTGAACACATTTATATCCAATCTTACTAGGTTTCATCTTACGTCTTAGAATGTACTCATCCGTCACTCATCATTTTCAATTATTTTTGCATACATATGTAATCAATTTTTATCATGACACCTAAATTGAGAAGGTAAACACCAACTCAAGAAAATCTAATGATTTTCAATGAGGTCATGACTTTGTGAGTCCATCAAGACCAATTAGCTCGTATTAAAAAAAAAATATACCGACCTACATACATTTATATAGTTCGTATGTTTCTCATAAGCAAATTTTTAATAAGCATTATAAATACAACATGGCTATTTCTATTTTATAACAAAATACGGTTTGCATGAATACAATTTATCATATTCAATAGAAGTAATGTGTATGAAAAAATAGATCTTTTATTACTGAAAATAGATTCAACATACATGAGTTTGTGTAACAATTAACCAAGATTAATCCATCTATGTGATTGGTTATTTTATTATGAACATAAAAAAATATATCTATAAGCACATAGTAATAGATATTATAAGCACTACTAAACTTATAACTAAAATCTTAGATTCTCATACAAGTAACACATATTATGCTCCTAATGAAGATGTTGCATTTATCGTCTTACATATAACAGTTATTTACCGTGAGTGATATGGACTCAAAATTTAATTGAGGTCAATTAAGGCTTTGTTTGGGAGGACTTTCTTACAGCTTCTTAAAACAGCTTTTTAGTACATAAATTTCAATGTTTATACTATAGAGCTATTTTAAGAAATAGTAAGAAAGTAGCCCCAAACATAGCCTAAATTTAATCAATCGAATGTCCAACAATTGACAATCTTATGAACTCTATTATTTTGCATACTTGTTCCTAAAAAAAATTCCCATAAAGGAGCTTGCAAATTTTAAAATTTAAAATAGAGTAAACAACCCAAACAAATTAACACATTTTAAAAAAAATATAATATGTCAAAAATGATTTGGTGCATTCTATGAGCCAAATGATTCCTTTTATTTATTAACAGTTTAATACAATCCTTTCCGACTTTCAACGCACTGACATCCTCAAAAAATTAAAAATTAAAATATTGTCAAAAATTATTAAGGACCACAATCAACGCTTAGCGTCTCTCTCTCTCTCCATGCAATATACACGTGTCGAATCTGCTGTGGAGCTCAGGCTTCAGTTAAACATGGTGGCGCCACCGTTACTGTAATTTTTTAATTTCCAGAACAAAAGGATAGATAATTTAGTGTATTCAATGGAGTGTATACGTAAATATGCCATGAAAATTTGTCTCGCTCTCTTACATTCGGCCACGCGTCCACTTTGCCAGCTAAAACCCACTATCTGATTCTCCCATCACTCATTGTATGCCACGTGTGCAGTTTCTAAATATCGAGGCCTTCAATAATTCCCCTTATAATTTACCTCTATTCCCAAACCATAAGCCTTCTTTTGTCATTTTGTCCGAGCGTCGTACGGTTCGAAGATCACATGCTTTGGGACACGTACGTGCCTCTTCAAGTCTGCACGTGCCACAGCTGGCGAGTCTATGTGGACACCGGACGGTTCTCCTGTCCGTTTATGTGCTCGGTACCGAGCAGTACGGAGCAGAGGTACCGAGCTCGGTATCCAGTGCCAAATATTTTTGGTGTAATGTGACGTACTTTTATTGGTCTCTGGACACTGTCCGAACTCCGTATATAATAATAAATCCTGTAAAACTTGCCGCTAAACCAGAGAGATTATTCTGAGCGGACATCGGACAGGAGAACCGTCCAGTACCGCTTGGTACCGAGCGTCAACACAGCGCTCGGTATTAGTACACTTTTTGAGTCACATGACACATTTTTGTTGGTCTCTGGACGACGTTTGGACTCTGTACAGTATAATTTTTCGCTAAACCGAGCCAAAGGAGACAATTAGGAAAAAAACAAAGGCAGAATATTAAGCCCATTTTTTATTGATTTTTTCTTTTAATATGAATAAAATAGGAATTATTTACATATTATAATCTGAAATTAGATTAAAAAGTAAAAAAACTTTAAATTCCTTCAATAAATGGCCTATCCGAGCTGTATAAGCTAATGGATTATATTTGGGCTAAGTTATCTCTTTGTGAGTCCTCTTATTTTTAATAATATAAAATAAAAATATACTAAAAATTAAAGTTAAAAATTTAATTTATTTTTACATTGATTCATAAGCCATTTTCACCTTATAAATTTAGATAATCTCCAACTTAATCTCAATTAATTAATCAAGCTTTCAAATTGAGGATTGTTCAAAATGTATTCACACGCCAAATTGAGTGTTTATTGTAATTAGTAAGGTCAACATAATTAAAATTATTTTTTTTAATAAAAAATAATTTACATTTTTTATTCTATGCTTTTAAAAATATATTTAATTATTTTAAATATCAAAACATAAGTGAAAAAAAAAATGCATACATTTATCAAATTCAAATCGTATCTGGACATGCTCAAATTAATTTTGTTATATTCAGACTTTGTTTGGGAAGACTTTATTACTACTTCTTAAGGTAGCTATTTAATAAAAAAATTAATTTTTATACTAAAAAGTTGCTTAAAGAAACAGTTAAAAAGCCGTCTCAAATGAAAGCACAATTAGCCTAAAAAAATTACAAAAGTATTTATTTAATTCCAAATATTTATGTCATTTATTGCGTTATAAAAAATGAATCCAAATGTTCTCTGAAATGATGCACGCATAAAAATCGATAGGAATTGAACTATATAATGGCCCTACAAACTGCACTTTTATTACGTCCTCTGATCGGACGTAGCTCTATGTTCGGTCAGAGGATTGTTACTCGGTTTTTGCTCGGTATTTGGTCAATAATGCTAGGTATTGTTTGATAATAACGAGGAATACCGTTCTGTGAAGACCAATACCGAGTAATACCAAGCAATACCGAACAATCACAAAAATACCGAGTTTTTTTCTAGAAAAAACTCGGTATTTTTTGGGATTACTCGGTATTGCTCGGTATTGCTCGGTATTTTATCTTCACATAATGGTATTTCTCGTTATTGTTGGTATTGCTCGGTATTTGCACGGTATTTCTCGTTTTGTGCCTGCGATCTTAGTGCCGGCCGAACATAGCTCTACATACGTTCACCGAACCAAATAAAAATTCCTACAAACTATAATGATAATTACATCTAAGCAAAGTAGAATTGTACTTAATAAATGTTAATTACGGGTTCTTTATGCGTGCCGCTGCGAATTTTTTATAAAATTGCTGTCGGAGAGTGGAGCTTTTTAGTTTATTTATTGAGAGACAGCTGTTTTTGAAAAGGTTATTAAGCTTTTATAAGTGGATGCCTAAAATAAAAAGGTTTAATTGATGATCAATAACGAAATTGTTTATTATTATGAGTGATTGTGATGTATTAATTAGCAGAGCTTAATTATAAGTTTAATCATGCACTCAGTGAAAGAGATGAGTTATTCATTTATTTAATGTAAATGTTTCTCTGCTGCTTTTGTATGAATCATTCTCTAATGGTTTCAATTTTTTTCCCTTTTTATTAAACTATTACGTCATTGTTTCGGACGACTTTTTTAATGATTCTTAAAGCAGCTTTCTAGTATAAAAATTTTTATTTTTATACTAGAAAACTGTTTTGAGAAACAATAAAAAAAACCCCCCAAATAAAACCTAAATCTCCTATACATATATATCAAGTAAATATTTTAAAGATTATTTAAAAAAATAATAATGTATGATCAATATTTTTCTAAAAAAAAATTGAAATATAAATGATCATTTTTATTTATATCTCAAAGGAGTAAAATAAATGATCAAAGGCTATAACTCGAATATTATGTGTGTTGGCATTTAGACTCCTTTTGGTATAATGTCTGAAATTTTATTAAGAAACTACAAAGCTAAACATGCTCGTGCGGGAGCAATTTTAGAATGGGTGACCTTCTAGGAAGTTACACCAACAGAACAAAGCCGTGAAACTGTTACCTCAAAGCGAATAATACCTTGATAGTTAAGAGTTTCGGCTGTTATAAATATAAATATAGTTTAAGAGTCTATGTGAAGGAGGATGACCCAAAAAACTATACTATAAACGATGATGGAGATGGCTTTATAAAAAAAATTATGTACAACATTTTGCGATTATCTTCCGCAAAGTAAACTGATTATTATCATTTAATATTTTATAGCTTAATTATTGGGAGAAATGACAAGATATTAGGTTATAATAAACATAATTTTTAATGAATTTATGGGTTTAACAAATATGATGGCCACCTTCACATAAATTGTAAAAAATTAAAATCATAAATATTTAAAATGACTCTTCAATAGGTGTGGCTTATGGTTAAGTAAATAATTCATTCAGAGTTCACACTTCAGCGTCTCGCTTACCCACTTTCCCTATTTTTTTTTCAATTTAAATTAAATATTTAATCAACTAAACAATTTTTTATTATTTTTTATTAAAAAGCGGGAGGTTTTTTTTTTTTTTTAAATTCAATTAATGAGCTTCGAGCAGGAAACGCTTCGCCTATTTAAACCCCCGAGCTCCTCCATAGTTCTTCCCCCTTCGTTCTTCCTCTCCCCTTCTCTATAGAAGGAAAAAGACAAAAAGCTATCGCTTAGTCCTTTTCTTCTCACGTGATTCCTCTGCTGATAACGTCTGCATTGTTTCTATAAAATCTTTTATTCCTATTGGTAGGTTCTTCTCTAGATTAAAAATCCTATTTTTCCTCCTAAATTTACCGATTTTGCCATCTTCTTCGGTTAGATTTTGAGATTTCTCTTTTTGTTTTGAGATAAAGGAGCCATCTTTGAACCTTGGTATTATATTCATCTAAAGCTTAAAAAGCTTGCACTTTTGGCAAGAATTAATATGGAGTATTATGATCTATAAAAACGAACAAAATTTGCTTATTTTGCTGAAATAATGTTCAGCGCTTCTAGCTGAGAAAGCTGGTTTTTTTTTTTTTGTTGCTTAGGAAGTCTGATACTGATTAAAATGGACTATGAAGATCGATATCGTCAGGCTAAATATGACTGTCTTCTATTTGGTAACTACTCTACTACTCTGAAATGCTGTTCTTCACGGCTTTGATAAAATGGTAAAGTTGACTTTTTCCTGAAACTTTGACCAAATTAGATCTGGATGATACTCTGTATCCCTTAAACTCTGGACTAGCAGCTCAATGCAGGAAAAACATCGGAGGTATTTTATTTTACATTTGTTTAAAACTGTTTGTGTTTATGTCACTGAACAGAAATCTGAAATATTTCCATGTTTTCGTGCTTCAGATTACATGGTGGAGAAGCTTGGAATTGAGGAGAGCAAAATCTCTGATATGTGCGATCTTCTCTACAAGAACTATGGCACCACCATGGCTGGTCTTAGGGCAAGTCCATGCTATCTTCTGTTTTTTGATAATTATTTCAAATTTACTATAATTGTTTACCTTTATTTTAACAAATTTCTACTGTATTTGAATTTAACTACAGGCGATTGGCTACAGAATAAACTATGATGACTACCATAGGTTTGTAATAACTCCTCTCATTTTCTTAAATTCCTCTTTTTAACGAGCTTCCAGAATATACTCACGTTTTGATCGTAAACAGCTTTGTTCATGGAAGATTACCTTATGAGAACCTGAAGCCTGATCCTGTTCTTAGACAGATTCTGCTAAGCATCCCAATTCGCAAAGTCGTAAGTATTTTTGTTGGTTAATTTTTTGGTTAATCTATATAAAAAATTCCTTTAAATTGCTTCTTATAACAATTTCATTCCTTGTTGTGACAGATATTCACAAATGCTGATAAGATTCATACTGTGAAAGTTCTAAGAAAACTTGGTTTGGAAGACTGTTTTGAGGGAATTATCTGTTTTGAAACTCTCAACACAAATGAAGAAAATTCATCGGAAGACCTAACAGAAATCAACAGATCTAATATTTTCAATATCGTCGATCATTTCTCACAATCACGCCCAAATACTGAACTGCCAAAGACTCCTGTTCTATGCAAACCATCTGAATCCGCCATGATTCGAGCTCTTTCTATTGCGAAAATTAATCCACAGAGAACTGTAAGTACATATACATCCTGCTTGAATATTTATATTCTTATAAAGAAACTTCAAAACTAGTAACATCAAGGTTTGTTCTTCAGATTTTCTTTGAAGACAGCATCAGAAACATTCAAGCAGGGAAGAGAATTGGTCTGCACACAGTCCTGGTAAGAGACTATATGGAAAGATGAAATATCTTTATGATATGAAAGAAGCTTATATTTATCAAATTATGTTATATTCAGGTTGGGAGTTCGCAGAGAGTGAAGGGTGCAGATCATGCTCTGGTGAGCATACACAACATAAGGGCAGCTTTGCCTGAGCTTTGGAAAGAGGAGGAGAAATCTGGAGATCTTCTTTATCCTGGGAAAGTTGCAATTGAGACGTCTGTGACTGCTTGAACATAACATATATGTCTTTATGTTGCAAATATTTTTAGCATATATATATATAGATAGATATATATGTTGAGGAAGATGATGTGCTTTCATTTTCTATATGATTAGCTTATGTATGGTTATAACTAGCCTTTGAATAATAAATTTCTCCCTGTTTTTCTTGACTTTATGCATCACATATTTATTACATTTTTTTTTTTTTTTGGCAATTTTTTGGGAAGTTATGAAAATTGCATTTAACCAAGCAAAGCATAGAGAAGAAGAAACTATGATGGTAGTTTGAAAGACAAAGAGGTCCACCAAAATAAATAACAGGAGCTAAAGCAAATTACAGTCAAAAGGGAGCAGGTAAAAAGAAAGAGGAAAAAAATTCTATAAAACAACAAAGGAGGCACAACTACAACTTGAGAGTTTATGAAAATGAGGTTTAAACTAATAGGATAGCTCTTTTGATCTACTAGGGTTCGATTCTGAGTTGTTCAAGATAATTGCTAGGATTACTTGTTATTGCTTGGAGATAGAAATTATATTTTAAAACATAATAGTTTAATTTTTACTAATTTTGTGGATTAAGATAATGAAATTATTGCATTAATTAAGAATTTTAGAGTGCTGGATTCAAATTTGTTTAAGGATGACATTCAATCTTAGTAGCAAGCAATCTGCAAGGCCAAAGTCAAAGATATTATTAAGGAGATTCGAGTGAGAAGGAAGAATAAGAAAGAGAAATTAGACTGTAAAGTAAGCTCGAAAATATGAAAAAGAATAAAAAAAAAAAAACTTATGAAGTATCCACAAGATTCAAAATATATCTCTTCATCCTTTTATTTATAAGATTTGGAGGGCTATAAAGAAGACTACACACAATGGAAAAACCAAAAGTATAATATTGATTATGATACATTATAGATTATATAGAATACATGACATGAATTGATAGGTGTTTGCGTGGCTCTTGGGTTTAGGACGAGTCTTCAAGATAAGTCATGGCGAGACAAGTCCGCATGAGCAAGTCCTTTGATGCTAACCTTCAACGTATGGGCGTAAAGGGCAAGGGAGAGGATTGTTTGAGTCTAAGGGATCATGACTTCATGTACATGATTAAGGGGTGTTAGTGGTGACTTGATGGTTTAGATGATTGCTAGTGGCCTTGGATGTTCAATCTTTAATGAGATGAGGGATTCTTGAGTACTGAGTCCCTTGATGTGCATATTTATTTGGTCGATTATGACTAGTCATGCAACCTGTTGCTGATTGTTTTTGATAGGTGATTTGATCGTCTTGGCCAAGTATTGTAGTTAGCTTTTAACTATTTCGGGCTTCAAGTTTTATTTAAAATATATTGACTCGGTGTAGCTGATATTTATATTTACATATATTGACTATTATCTACATATAACTAAAGCATTATGTGGTTTTTTTAGAGCTTTCATTTATTTCTATTATTTTATAGTTCATTATTAATAATTTGTAGAAAAAAATCAAATATATTAATAACTTTCATGTTTTGAATTATTAAGAGTTATTTTGAGCCCATTCACTATTATTTTTTATTGAAAATAATAATTAGGAGTTACCACAATATATATAAGATGTAGAGTTCGCTAAAAATCAATTTTTGCATAACGAGCTAACCCAGCTTGAATGAAAATTTAGATATTTTTGAGGGGACTGCATCGTGTTATAAAATTGGTTGTGAAGTTGGTGTGGAAAAATAATCTTGACTGCTCTGATTTCAAAAATGAACTTTTCAGTATAGAAATTTATGAAAAATAAGAAAATAATAACAAAATAAAATCACTATTGATGTTAGAAATATAATGCAGTACGAAAGCTATCCCAAACAAACTCATAGCATTGAATGCCTATCTTTATTCCTCATTTTACTAAGCTTGACGTCAATGTTGAAGGGACATGGCTTTAAGAAAATAATTAAAAAGGAACGAGACTCTTCTAGTCTTCTTTATGTCTCACTTAGAATAATCAATGTGAGGACAATCTTCCATTATTATCGTTTGATCTATCTCAACCCTAAAACTTCCATAATTAAAAAGGAACAAAAAAATTATTATTATCTTAATTTTTTAAATAAAAAACTTTGAAAAAATCATCAAATTTTGATGCAAATATATTGAAAAAAAATAAATACATCAGATTTTTTATAAATTCATATATTAATTAATTCAACATATAATTTAAACTTTTAAAATTCATATTTTAAGACTTATAAAGACCGTTCTAAAAACATAGGCATTATCCCTTCTATGAATTAGATCAATCAATCAAAATTTAGCCCGGACAATTACTTCTATGAATTAGAGCCAACTCATAAGTTTGCTTGTTTATCATAAAAAAGAGAAAAAAGATTGTAATTCAAGCAACATTTATAATAAAATGAATGAAAAAAAGGAAAAATAATTAAAAAAATCACTTAATATATCAGTGCTATATAACTTATAAAATATTATTTTACAATAATATATATTTAAACCCTAATTTTTTTTAATAAATGAGCTGATTCACAGAAAAACTAATTTCCTTTTAATGATCTCAGCATGCTAACTTACAAAGTACAGCAACCTATCACAACTTAATAATCGTTAAAATAAGACCCACAAAGTCCTGTACGTAACAGCCCAATGCGTAATTTTAATGCACATATAAATCACTATCAGGCTCTCGTTGTTTTCTGCAAACATGTGGGGTCCCAATCCCATTATTCCCCAAAAAAAATACATTTTTCAAAATGCTAAAAATGTCGCTTTATAGGAAAAAAAATCTGTAGCTTTTGCAGCTAACGAAACAGACACAGCTGGCTAATAATACTGTCAAGCACTGCAACAGTTCTTCATATTTGTTTAAGAATATAGTAACAATGTGGGAATTCATGGCTGTCAACTCAGTTTATCTATCTATGGTGGTGGGTGTGATACACATGCTGTTAATGGTTCATTTTATCTACCTGTAATGCATTTTTGTAGATATTAAATTCTAGTAAAAGGATGATGATTACTGGACTATTGGTTAGAGTTCCATTACCACCATTAAAATTAGTCCCCCCACTTCATTTGGCACTAATCTTGATTAGCCAGAAATTATTGTTTAATGATGTTTGAGATACTTAGATGTCCAATGAATGGCTGATATGTATGATATTATTTTAGAAGGGGGTGTCAATTTCGGGTCACGGGTCGGGTTCAGGTCGAACTCGAAACTGACCTGGCACTATTCGGGTCAACCATACCGACCCGTTTTTGCAAACGGGTCGGTTTTCTGGACCTGAACCCAACCAACTTCGGGTCCGAGTCAACCCGACACGACCCGAATGACCTGATGCCAACAAAAAAAACTAGTAATTTTCGGGTCCAAAAACGGGTCAATCTTGAATTGCTGGGTCAAAATGGGTTTTCGGGTAAAAAAACGAGTCAATTTTGGATCAAAAGGTCAACCCAAACAGACTCGATTTTTGAAACGGGTCAAATTGTTGAACCCGAACCCATTTCGGATTCGGGTTGATCCTAACTCGAAATTTTAGGGTCAGGTTCAAGTCGTGTCAAATATTGACACCCCAATTTTTTACCATAATCGACATAAGTGAAGATAATTAAGTATATATCCCTGATATTAAAATTCACAATATTTTCTTCATTTCAACCATCGAACTTTTTAAAATGTCCAAAATAATAATAGAAAAGTACTACTTGCCATAAAAGAAGTGGAAGATGAAAGCCTAAGAAATGAAAAGCCAGGTTCAAAATCATTAAAGCCAACCTAACTAAATAGGCATAAAAACAAAATGGAACAAGATCTTGATAGCTGGAAAGGGACTTACCAATTGCAAGCTTGCAAACAAGCAGATGCTTGTCAAAAATAACACGACTTTTGAGCTGTGGTGCACCTTTGTAAGGTGGCTTAAGAATCCAGTTTTTTACCATTCAAGATAAAAATTGAAAGTTTATGGGGATGATTAAGTTCACCAAGCTTCTCTCTTTTGAGTTTGAATCCAGCGTCTCCTTTAGGAAAAGACTTCGAATAACATCTGGGGAAAGATTGAAGACAGAATATCTCAAATAAAACATCATAAGATTCCGCTCCTTGATTGACAAATAGTGGCAAACAGCTGGATTCATCAAAAGAGTTAGAATTTCTGGTGAGATTCCTCCTGTGAATGCAAATTGCTTTAGTAATTTGAACAAGTCTCTGTCGCAGTTGGCTAAGCAGAAATTTGTAAAGAGAAATACTCCACGCTATTGAAAGCTTTGTAGTTTTTTGTGAATTGTTTACTTGGAATTTTTTAAACTGGGAGTAACGTATAAACAAGAAGAAAAAACTACGATACAAAAACATATGAAAGTAAACAGAAATATATGCCTAAATAGTGGTTTAAGCTTTTGGTATGTGAAAGTATAAACATTGTAGCAGTTCAAGGCTCAGATGCATAGAAAGAAAGAAAGGCTTCAATGATAGAAAAAGGGCTAAAAATAGTGCAGTAAATATCAGCAATGGTGGGGTTCATCAACGATCACCATCAACAGCTGTAGTCCAGCTATTATGAGTCAACTAACATGCCATTAGGATTTATTTGGTCTGATTTGCTTAGCTATTTACTACACATCAACTCTCAATCCCTATTCTCATCTTGGCTTTAAGAGTTGGGACCAATTCCTCTACTTGTAAAATAAAATGAATGGGTCAGTAATCATTAATTAGCGACTTGCTTTATTCTCCATGTAAACCATTGAAAAGTTTCTAACAACCAGTTTAAAATTTTCCACATGATATCATCAAAAAGCTTTTTTCGGGTATTAAAATAAATTATTGAGTCTAATTTTTTACCTACGAAGAGAAGACGTCAAACATACATAATCTTCGGTCAATAAGTTTTATTATAGTTTTCAAGTGCATCAAACACATGTGAATAAAATTTAATTATTTATTATTTTTTTAAAAGGAGATCAAAGTAATAAATTTATCATTACAAATAATTATAATAATAATCATATTAATAAAAATATAAATTAATAATATTATTGCACGTACATCAAATATATGTTATAAAATTTCAATCATATTAAACCAACAACATACAGCATAAGGAAATAAAATATAAAATTCAGCAAAATAATTTAAAAATAAATTTGTTATCTAAAACTACAACTTGTTCGTTAATTGCCTTAAATTCTAATCATTTATTTAACTGTTACGTCAGAAATTCTTAAATCCTTCAGGAATTCAAAGTCTGCGTTTACCAGTGACAATGACGAATGCAAATAAAACTAATTATTGATATATCATCAAAAAATTATCTTGATCAGGCGTGAATCTTGAAGCAAAATCAATGTGAAAATTTCAAAAATTAAATTAGAGACCATATGAACTCCAATTTCAACAAACTTACAATAGAAATGAACATATTGGAAATACAAACCCAACGACACCAAACTCGACTCAATCCGAGTTCAAATAGGTCCAAGTCGAAGACTCGAAGCATATTTAGAAAGGTTCAAACCATAATTTGGATTACCAAACGGTTTCCAAACATGTCATACTTATAATCAAATAGAGCAGCTCGATGAGAAAAATACAACGAGCCCAAGATCGTCAAATTCTAATATCATTAATCATTAAGACATTAAAATACCAAATAAATGGTCCATGATCGACGGAATCCACATCAGCCATCCATTCAAATCACTCTCAAATTACCCTTGCCCTCCCTCCTAGTTATTGGTCATGTCACACCCAGAATACTATAAATAGACCCCTCATTCCTCATGGAGGGGGGATTTCGATCCGACGTCGGACTTCCACCCGTCATTGGACTTCTGCTCATCGTCGAACTTTTGTCGAACTTCTACCCAACGCCGAATTTCTACCCGACATCGGACTTCCTTCATCGTCGGACTTCCGTCATCGTCGGACTTCCGCCGTCGCCTGACTTCCGTCAAACTTCTACCTGATGATAAACTTCCGTCTGTCGCTGGATTTCTACCCGACGCCAAACTTCTGCCCGTCGTCAGACTTTCGTCGGACTTCTACTCGACACCGGACATCCGCCCATGGCCGGATTTCTGCCCGTCGCCAGACTTCTACCAGTCGCCGAACTTTCATCGGACTTCTACTCGACGTCAGACTTTCACTCGTCGCCGGATTTCTACCCGACGCCAAACTTTCGCCTATCGCTGTACTTTTGCCCGTCGTCGGACTTTCATCGGACTTCTACCCAACATCGAACTTCCACCCATCGCCGGGCTTCCGACCTCCATCATCAGCCGACTACGGTCTTGTCAATCTCCTTCACTAGACAACAATCATAATGACTACTATCGTCCGCTAACTACGGTATTTCCGACATCCATCGCTAGACAACGGTCTTTGTGGCCACTGTCGCCCGCCAACTACGGTTCTTCCGACCTCCATAGCCAGATTGCGATCTTTCCGACCTCCGTGGCCAGACAACGGTACCTCCATCGCCAGACAACGGTTTTTTCTGACCACTGTCGCTAGCCGACTACGGTCCCTCTGACCACCGTCACCATATTACAGTATTTCCAATCTCCTTCGCCCATCGACTACAGTTTTGCCGATCAAACAAGCATATCAATAGTCATTCTTTCAAAGTCCCATCATGTAATGCACTTTATATGATATATATTTATTACATCAAGCCAAGGCCTTCCCCCAAGGAAGGGCCTCATTTGTAATCGGTCAGGCCCCGTGGTTTTTCCTCTTTTAAAGGTTTTCCACTTAAAAATTTTGGTGTCTCTTTAAATACTGCACCCTCTTTTTTTATTTGTATGAGTGCTGGATCTTCGTACAAAGCTAAGATGTTAAACTTTATATTTCTCTACCGCCGTGAATATTCCAGGACGCAACAATCATAAAGAGTTAGATTAGGAAAAATAAATAAATAAATATAACATGGAATAAAATATAAATTGCTGTGTTAGATATAGGAAAATTTGAGAAGAGTATACGCATTTATTAAGGGAGGAATTAGAGAAGCAGAATAGATCTTCCTCACAGCCAAACTATTTTATATTGTATGACAATTTAAAATTTAATCTAAGAAGGATTGCAACCCCTTCTATACTTGTATTATAGATTTTAACTGCCATCGATTTTTCTTTGTATGGATATAATTATCAAATATGGGAGAACCTACAAAAAAATTTTGAATGTTTTGTGTTATTTTTCTATTTTTCCCACCACTTTCATTGCATCGTCAACTTTTACTTAAAAAAATTAGAAAAATCATCAACCTCGTCACAACCAGTAGTTTAAACGAGTCCTACAGAACACAGAACCATGTTCTCTTGAGTGCGATCTTTTCTTTTCTAGCTCCTTTTCAGCCATGGCTTCTTGCTTATCATATTTCTTTCTGCTCTTATTGTGTACTACTAATAATTTGATCTATTATACACTACCTTTTACAACTATTTTATACATTTAATCCACAATAGATGTTATATCATTTAGCTTGTATTTTCTACAGAAGAAATTTGGAACAAAGTAATGTTAAAGACAATTGCAAACATCTTTAGAGCTGCTGCAATATAAGCTCATATTTATTTATAAACTTTCGACTGGAAGGTTTGAGAATTACTTAACCAAATAAAATTATTATATGGTACATTACTCCTTATGAATATGCAAAACTAAGACAAATAAGATAGTGTGCTAATTTTCATGTTAAAGCAGAGAAGGAAGTCTCTTGGTCATCATAAAAACCTTATGCATGAAATGCCTGCGTACAAATAAGATTTACCTTTCAGAAAATCCCTTGATTTGGTTATAATCTGCAGAAGTTATTAGGCTTCAGTGAGCTTAAGCTTTGCTCAATTTTATGAGCAGGGTAATTGTTCCTAAGGCTTCACTAAAAGCATTTGCATAGTTCTTTCTGGTGTCAACTATGCACAGCTGATCTAGACTTATCATTCCCACATGTGAGAAATTACAGAAAATGGGCTATTTAATAATCAGTTAAAATGCCAAGATAAATAGCATATGTACTGGTGATTTACGTTAAAAGAAAAAAGAGATACTCCTTCAGTCTGGAAGGCGATTCAAAATTGCTTCATCTCTTATAATCCATCTACACACTACTGTATCCATCAAAAGCCATCATGACAGCTATTAAAACCTCAAAATAACTTTGTGGCCCACCATAATAGCATCAAAGCAATTGAAATTCTCGAAATAATAAGACCATTAACGCAATTCCCTTTCCTCATAAAGTCGCTTGCACCAAACAGCTGTAACGCGGAGTGGCACAATAAGTTATTAGAGTGAACGGCTTAACATAAACTTACAATTAAGAAAATCCTCATTGCTAATACGCGGGAGTGGCACAATAACTTAGTTGAGGCATTCATATTCTACTCCCTATGCTTTGGCCTTTGGGGTTCAAGTTATCATCCCTCTTAAAGGAGGCTTCCCTTGCAAAGCGTGGCAATTAGCCATCAACTCTCCCATGAAAAGAATGTCTGGCTTCAGCTGGAGGAGCTTCATGATTTAGAAGAGCTGTGATTGCAAACTCATCCGGATCATAAGCTATACTAAAACCAAATTTTCCTATCAAAATAGTTTTGGACAAAATTTTCCATCCAAGTTATTGGACATTGATACAAATTTGTCATCAGGTCTCATATTTTTCATGTCAAATTAACATACAACTGAACGTAGTAAATAGCATGTCAATCATTCACTGTCCATTTTGTGCCTAATATGTGATACAAATTTGCCATTTGAATCAGTGTAACACCCATGGTTCATAGTTTTATCCTTTTCGCATATGAATCCATAATCCTATTACAAATATAAAAAAATGCGGAGAGAACTCATGAGAGAGGAGATTTCTAAGGCACATGAGGACTTGGGTTAAGTCCCACATCAGATAGTTGAAAAAATTATTGGTTTAAAGTACTAAATGGTTGACATTCATCCATAAAAAATAGCTTTTTGGTTTAAACGTATTTGACCTCTACTACATCTGGCCCAACTATAATCTGATAGACCGGTCCACTACTACATCTGGCCCAACTATAATCTGATAGACCGGTCCAACCAGTCCAGTTCTACAAGAAGAGGGCTAAGCCGCCTCCTTCATATGTTTCCGCCCAGCTTGTGGGCCCCCCTTGAGGCGGCAATAGGAGAAAAGGG